GAGAGAGAGAGAGAGAGAGAGAGAGAGAAACAGAGAGAGAGACAGAGAGAGAGAGTTGGGAATTTAAAATTTGTGAGTCAATTTGGATTCCATATAATCCACTAGCTTTGTTCAAACTAAGTGAAATTTCATATATTGAGGGGAAAAAACAATCCATTGAATGTTTAGTTTCAAACCTCAAATGAATGTAGCAACTCAACACTTTTAAGCTTAAATTACTACCATATAAGTTTACTGTAAATTTCAAGTGTTTTGCTTCTAATAGAATCTAACACAGCCGCTACGTGCATGTCTGTATTTGAAAAAGGTAAATTGGTATTTCCGTCAGTGTGGCTTGGCTTTTGCTGTAAGTTGCTAGTATAGACAGGGCTCAGACATTTCAGACAGTGTTTCATGAAAAATGCTTAGAGCAGATTTTCATGGTAGAGTGGTACATCTGAATGGCTCTACATTAACTATTACAATGTCTGTAACACTGATGCAAGGGATATGTGGTAACCCATTTTCTTCATAAGCTATGTTTCCCCAGAGACACATTAAGTTTCCCATTTTCATAATCAAAGATTTCAGTAATATTATACCCATTCAATGTTTCTAAGCACAACAGGTATTTTTTTAATTACTGCAAACAAATACAGGATGAAACAATGATATCTAATAGAGAAGATTGAAAATAGAACAAAATAAGTCAGAGAAACAACATAAGCTATTCACAAGACAGGATCTAAGGACTTAACCCCATCTCCTCACCTCATAAGTTGCAAGTCTATCTAAATAATTTAATAATTTCAGCCTGCTTCGACAAAGTTCCTTTTGTTCCAGTGTTAGTCTGTTTTGAAAGAGAGAGAGAGAGAAAGAGACCACTACATTTTCAAGATTGCTTCAGTACATTAGCATAGTATCTAAACTTTCAAAAATAGACTTCTATTTAAAAATATATATATATATATTTATTCGAAGGCAACAAGACAAAAAATGTTTTACCAGATCTATATATTGGAAGCGCAACAAGAAATTCAATAAACTGAAAACTTTCATAATAGAGTGCTGATTGAAATTTTAACCATTGTCCAAAGAAGAAATACAATGTATTAAGATAATTATGACCATGGGATTATGTATTTATAAACCTATGAATTTAAGCAAAATTAGACCTGACATATAATTTACTTTGAGAAGTTCACTGATAGAAGCAGTTCTTGATGCTTCTTAGCCTCCCTTTCCTTTCTATTTTCTGCTTCTTCATCAGGTGACAAAAATTCTTCATAGGGGACTTCATCAATGTCCACCTCTCCTGGTAAGATAAATCTGGCAGAAAGAAACAAAAATCAATGTTGATAAAAAGATATGAAGAGCTGGTTATTCAGTCAACAGATTTTACACAACTTTCCATCTGTATCTTTTGTATCAGAATTGATTTTTACTGAAACTGGTGACAACAAATTAATTATCTGAAAAACAATTTTGCTATCGTGAGCTTGAGTGATGTATTCTAAGTATCTGAAATTATAGGGAGGGCATTCTTCACACTTTCTTCACAAAATACACAAGGTTTTCATCTGTTAAAAGTTTACAAATTCTACAAGCAACAGAGTTCCTGATACTATTTCCACAGCACATACTACTATATGTGGTAATTATTACATATACACCCAAGAAGCAATTATATATCACCACTGTATTGAGTTGTTACAGAATGACCTGCATTTGTTTTTTCTCCAATCTTCTGTACAAAAGACAGAACCAGACCATGTTTTGTTTCCCTGATGCATTTTTTTTTATTTTAGCTACATAGCTTAAGAATTAAGGCAAAAGCAGCTATTAAAAAAGGCTTATTCAACACTTACTCTTGGGGGAATTCTGGGCCACTGCACACACAGAGAATTCATGTACCACTCAGAATTCCCACACACACACCACAGAAAATACATCCTGCCAGAAAGGTGATGCAGTTATGCCTTTCGTCCACCAGGGGCCACTGTGGCACCAGAACAGAGAGCAGCCATTCCCGGGACAGTCCCAACTGCGGATAGGAAGAGAGCAGAGGCCACCTTCCTCACAGCGCCCTGCCTGTGGGGCCGTTAGGAGGCATGGGATACAGAGGGGACAGGGAGTGTGGGACACAGAAAGCTGCTGTGGGTGTGGAAAATACATTTCTGTATTGTAGTTTAAATGCATTATTACTCAGAATTCTGTATTAATATGCATAGTAAGTAATCTATTTGTCAAAAACATTACCTGAATCTTTTTTGTTGTCTGTATTGTTCCAGGCATACTTGCTGACTGGTATTTTAAAATAAATTACCAAAATAATTGAAACTGGCATGACTATATGGTGTTATTTTGACAAATAAAATACACAGAATTTTAAAATATTGTGCACATAATTTTTAATATTTTAGTGCAGAATTTTTAATTTTTTGATGCAGAATTCTCCCAGGAGTAAACACTGTGGTTCAAAATAGTCTAAGAACATCAACATAGGAATCTGTTCCAAGTAGAAGCCGAATTTTGGAAATATTTTGTGCTGACTTCCATATTATTGTCTATATATTCATGTCCTCTCTATTGCATTCAACTTCTGAAGTCACAATTTTATTTATTTTCATTCATGAGAGAACTTGACTGCTATCTTTAGTATTGGTTACAGCTATTCTTATGGGAACATATTTTAAAAACCATGTCCTGCAAAATCTGTTAAGATTTCAGTTTGTAGTTAACTGACAAATTCACTGCATAATTCCAAAGCAGAGAAACAGGATACACAAAAATTATTCCAACAAACCTGCCACCATCTTCTCCTTTTCCAATAGCTATGAGAGCCTCCAAGTCTGTGCCCTTTAAACCATACTGCAGCAACTCTTTGGCAGCATCCACATTCTCAGGAACTCTTTCCAGGCATTCATGAAGAACCCAGGACCGCTTCTTAATTTTACTCTAATCAAATGACAAAGAGTGAGAAGTAAGCATAGTGGAATATGTTATAGCCAACCAAAGCACTGAGATCAGTGTCTTTCATTTTTTCAGTCTGCCTCTCTTCCATGTAGAACCTTGTCAATTTAGTCTGGTGACTGGGAGACTCAATGTGAATTAAAACAAAAGAATCAACCAGTAAAAAAAGCAAGGAAAATGCATCAAAATATTTTGTTTTGAAAACTACAGCCTAGTTTTATTTATAGCATTTCCTAATCTATCAGTAAATTAACTGCAGTGTATTGGTTAGCATTAATGAATTAGTAGAGTGAGACCTCACTACAGCACTCTAATAAATCTTTGCTGACTAGCGGACAGAAGCTGTTTGTTTAAATTTCGGAGTTCCTAAATCTCTAACCATTGCTTTTGGTAGCAAGATAGACTACACTTGAAACCAATAAATAATAAAGTAATACTGTTCTCCTTCCATTTAAGGATCACAAAGCACTGTACAAAAGATTTTTTTCCCAATTTATAGAGGAGAAAACTAAGGTACAGATGTCAAGTGACTTGACAAAGGTCACCCAGCAACTCAGACACAGAACTAGAAATAGAACCTAGTTATCCTGGATCTCAGGGCTCTAACTCTTCTCCCTAGTCAGTATGGCAGCTCTGTGCTGACTGAAAATTCTGCAGTATGATGACAGCATACAATTACTCCCATCTCAGTGTACTATATGGCTATTTTCAGCATCATCTCCTTCAGCAAGGGCTGCTTATGTGATCAAGAAGTGAAAGATTACACTATGAGGTGTTCCAGTGCATGTTCTAGCTAACATATGGAGAACAATTGCTAGTACAATATTACTATGGGCATTTTTTCAGTTAGCATTTGGCTTAGAGATAATGTTAATTTAGCAACAGAACTTCAACTTTAAATTATCTGAGGCTCATAAATCAACAATACCTTCAACTAAATAATTAAGACAACATGAAGACACCAGCTTGATGCATTATTTTCTTCCCAAGCCCACTGAACAAAATGGGAGTCTTTCCATTTACTTCAACGGGCTTTAGATCCGGCCGCTAGCGAATTTAACAAGGTCAGTCCCTTCTGCCTTAGGTGAAATTCATGAAGGACAACTCTTCAAATTGGTATCAACATTTGTTACATAAATTAGAACATGATTTCAGTTTCTACAAGGATATTAAGAAATTTCTTTCAACTTAAAAAACATACCAGGTAGTCTTGAATAGAAGCAATGTTAACAGTTGATTTCCTCCACTGTCTTTGATATACAAGATCAGAATCTAGACCATATGCTTGAGCCAAAGATAAAGCTTCACCATATTCTTCATTATCAATCTAAAACAAAGTACATGAACATAAACATCTTTGATAGAATGGAGTTGCTCTGTAATTATTTGTGAATACTGTGTGTGTTTATCTATATCTATACACACACACAAACACACATATATAGTGAATATAATAGTCTAATTAAATAGGGATCCCAAAGGAAAAAACAAGCAGGAAAGAAAAATAATGTCTCAAGATATCAAATTCTCCACAAACACTCGGGGCTGTTAAGAGACAATCCCAGAACAGGTAAAGACACGTGCATACTGGAGAGCTAAGAACTGTGACAGGTTTAAAAAGGAACTGTTTCTCAAGAGAAGAGGGAGTTATTCAGGGGAAACAGTCTGACACATTCGCACCCAACTGGAGGGTCTGAAGAAGTTAAACCAGCATAAGTTACCAACAAGAAGCCTTAGACAATAGATGTGTGTCAACTGCGTGTTATTTTAAAACCCTTTTTCTGTATATGTTTTGGTCCTTTTTTAAAAAAAACACCCAATATTTAGGTTTAAAGTAGTTTCTGGCCACTATATTCACTACTGGTCACAGTCTTCTCTGCCAAAATTGAATTGGGCCTGCACAGTTGATACACAAGGTACTGTAGCTCAGGACTTGGTCTAAGATTGGGAGAACTGTGCAATTCCACCCTAGGAGCAAACCTGAGGGTAGAAGACAATTTGAGTGAAAGTGACCATGAAATGAGGTCGTGATTCTAAAAAAAGGAAGGAGTAAGAGCAGCCAAATAAGGACAATGAACTTCAAAAAAAGCAGATTTTAACCGACTCAACAAACTGAGAGGTAAGGTCCCATGGGAAAAAAAAAACAAGGGAAAAATGAGTTCAGGAGAGCTGGCAATTTCTCAAGGAGACAACATTAAAGGAATAACTGCAAACTACCTCAATGAGAAGGGAAGATAGGAAGGACAGTAAGAGGCCATCACAACTCCATCAGGAGCTCTTTAATGACCTGAAAATCAAAAAGGAATCCTACAAAAATAGGAAACACGGACAATTTGTAAGAGGAATACAAAAGAATAGCATAAGCACATAGGTATAAAATTAGAAAGGCTAAGGCACAAAATGAGTTACACCTAACACAGGACATAAAAGGCAATAAAAAGAGGTTCCTTAAATACATTATGAGCAAGAGAAAAACAAAGGAAAGTGTAAGTTCTTTACTTAGCGGGAAAGGGGACTTAAAAACTGATGACATCAATAAGGCGGATGGGTTTAATGTCTATTTTGCTTCCATCTTCAGAAAAAAGATTAATGGTGAGGAGATACTCAACACAATTACTATAACAAGAAAGGGGAAGGAACGCAAGCCAAAATAAGGAAAGAACGGGTTAAAGAATATTTAGATACGTTAAATGTATTCAAGTTGGCAGAACCTGATGAAATTCGTTCAAGGGTACTTAAGGAACTAGCTGAAGCAATCTCAGACCCAATAGCCTTATCTTTGAGATCACACCGAGGATAGGTGCAGTCCCAGGGGATTGGAGAAGAGCAAACATAGTAGCTACCTTTAGAAGAGTGAACTAAGAGGAGCCAGGAAATTATACATTGGTCAGCCCAACTTTAATACCGGGAAAAATAATGGAAGAAACTATTAAACAATTAATTTATAAGCACCAAGAAGATAATAGGATTAGAAGGAATGGCCAGTATGGATTTGTTAAAAACAAATCATGCCAAACCAATCTAATTTCCTTTTTTGACAGGGTTACTGGCCTAGTGGATTGGGGTGGGGACGGGGCACCAGTAAACATTCTACTTCTTGATTTTAGTAAGGCTTTTGATACAGTCCTACATGACATACTCATAAGCAAAATAGGGAAATGTGGCCTACATGAATTTACAATAAGGTGGGTGCACAACTGGTTGGAAGACCGAACTCAGAGTAGTTATCAATGGTTCACTGTTAAACTGGGAGGTTGTATCTAGGAGGGGTCACACAGGCATCAGTCCTGGGTTCAGTACTATTTAATATTTTCTTGGACTTGGATAATGGGGTGGAGAGCATGCTTGCAAAATTTGCAGATGACACCAAGCTGGGTGGGGTTGCAAGCACTTTGAAGGATAGACTTAGAATTCAAAATAATCTAGACAAATGGAGAACTGGTCTGAAATCAATAAGATGAAATGCAATTAAGATTAAGGGCAAAGTACTACACTTAGGAAGTCAAAAAATCAAATGAACAACAACAAAATGGAATGGCTAGGTGTTAATACTGCTGAAAAGGATCTGGGGGTTAGAGTGAATCATAAATTGAATATGAGTGAATATGATGCATTGTATAAAAGGCTAATGTCATTCTAGGGTGTATTAACAGGCATGTCATAGGTATGACATGGGAGGTAATTGTCCTGCTCTATTCTGCACTGATGAGGCCTCGGCTAACATACTGTTTCTATCTCTGGGCACTACACTTTAGAAAAGATGTGGGAAACGTGGAAAGAGATTAGAAGAGAGCAACAAAAGTGATAAAATATTTTAAACCCTGAACTATATGGAAAAGTTTTAAAAATTGGGCATGTTTAGTCTTGAGAAAAGACGACGGGGGGCAAGGACCTGATAGTTGTCAAATTCATTAAGAGCTGTTATAAAGAGGACAGGGATCATAGAATCATAAAATATCAGGGTTGGAAGGGACCTCAGGAGGTCATCTAGTCCAACCCCCTGCTCAAAGCAGGACCAATTCTCAACTAAATCATCCCAGCCAGGGCTTTGGAGATTCCACCACCTCCCTAGGTAACCCATTCCAGTGCTTCGCCACCATCTTAGTGAAATAGCTTTTCCTAATATCCAACCTAAGTCTCCCCCACTGCAGCTTGAGACCATTAATCTTTGTTCTGTCACTTGTTCTCTGCATCCACCCAAGGTAGTACAAGAAATAGTGTCTTAATCTGTAGCGAGGGAGATTAGGTTAGATATTATGAAAATCTTGATAAAAATATCTGGGCGGGGGGGGGTGCATTCAGAGAAACTAGAGGGGACAGAGGTGCAGCTAGCCCTGTAACCATGATACCAGCTATGTCAGTGGACATTACCATAGAATCAAAGAAATAAAATAGCATATTAATTCTGTCCCCTGGCCAATACAGGATTGTTTCACTGAATATATTTACCAGGGCTTTCTCTAGTCTAATTTTAAATGTCTAATGTGATGTAGCTTAGCCCACCATCCATAGTCTAATGAATCTTATACTTTCTGCTCAAATGATCCTTAAGTAACTTGTCATTTGAATTACATTAATGCAGGTTCTCTATTTTAATCACGTGCCTTCCAGCTGGTGGACACACTGCGTATTGTTGATATCTCTCTCTCTTTCTCTCTCACTCACATACACCCCTTAGAAATACGTGGCTAGACCCTTGTATTACAAGAAAAAAATTAAAACAGGAAGATATCAAAGCTGGTCTTTCTAAAACAATGAAAAACAGTTATTTTATGTTAATCTTTATTGTTGTCCTAGTCTCATGCTGTATAGATCTCAATCTCACCTTTCTCTGGTAAAGCTCCTCTGGGGTTGTAGATCTTAAACTCACAAGGCGGTAATTCTTTGTAATAGTGCGTGAACGTTTCCGTGGAGGAGCAAATCGCTCCATTTCTGTCACAAAATACAGGCCTTGCTTTAGGTAACTGAAATATCTGGCCTTGGCAGAAGTTACATCATCTGAGTCAGAGTCATCTTCTCCTTCATCTTCTTCACCAGGCCTGCTCTCCAAGCGTAATCTCTTTGGAGCCAGTTTTATCTCGCACTACATGGAAAAGCAATTCTTAAACAGTGCAATATGTTGTTGTTAGTTTGCTCCCAAGCTGCCTGATTCTGGAAAATGCTGAGCATCCACAATTCACATCAACTTCAGGATCAAGGACCCCGCCTCCTCCCACTCCCGCACATTAAAACATTAGCTTGTAACCTGTAATTTGTACTTCAGGGATGCTTCTTGGCTCTCCATCCTAGACTACAGACCTGATCTAGAGCCCACTGAAGTTAACAGAAAGACTTCCATAAATCTCAATGGGCTACCAGTCAGACTCTGTGTCCTCTAACAGAGGCAGCAAGCCATACAGGGTGGGGAACTAAGAGGAAATCCATATCAGTTCTGTCATCAGAAAACTTAGCTAACACATGAGTTAAACAGTATGCAAACTAAAAAGTCACATATTTAATCAATTATTTGGAATTTCTATATCAATGTACTAAGCTTCTCTCTGATTAGGTCAATGTTAACATCCTGAAGGAAGAACAAGAAGTCACTGATAGGAAGCTTTTCAGGTCTTTCAGTTAACGTCATTTCCATAGTAATGCATCTTTTAATAGACATATGAACAAACTTATTTATATTGCGATCATGCTGTTCTGAAACAAGTATTGTGATATAATACTTGGCAACAACTGTGATATAAAGGTGTTTGGTGCTCGTTTGTTTTGTTTTTAATCTGTCTTGACTGGGAAAGGGGAACAGGGGATGGATCATTTGATGATTTACCTGTTCTGTTCATTCCCTCTGAAGCACTTGGCATTGGTCACTGTGGGAAGACAGGATACTGGGCTAGATGGACCTTTGGTCTCATCCAGTATGGCTGTTCTTATGTTGCAAGACCAACATGTCATAACAATTTCACAGGGAAATCAAAGATTTAATTGCTTGGATTGAAATAAAATTGCAGGTATACATTATTATGGAGGGCAACAGGCTTTTTTGGCATAATTTAAATAAATGAAAAAAAATTACAAAAACACATTTTACATAGTTTGTTTTTAATAGCATTTCTTCTCTGAAGAAGGGATAGGGACAAATACTGTATTCCCCACTTCAATCAAACATACCCAGTATCCATGAGACTTTAAGCCAATGCGAGTTTTACTTGAGGAAGGATGACTCAGGTTGCAGGATTTTTCATACAATTATATATAGATATAAATATACATTTTAACATACACACAAATTGCCATTCTTGCTGTACAAATTTGTAGATACAAATTTTCTTGGTTACTGTATATATCATAGAATGAAAAAAATTTACACACATGTGGCCAAGATTATTTTTCCTTCTAATTAAAATAGTTTGAAGAAAATCCATTTTTTCCAAGTAGCACAAAATTAAATAAATCAAAGAATCTATACTGAAACTAAGCACATGTCTCAATAGAGTGGGGCCTTGTTTATTTATACTTATGACCAGAAAATATATTGCAAGTGAGTGAATTCTGAACATTAGCCAGAAAGAAGGCAACTGAAAAAGCCAAAATTTCAAACTATTTTGTTCATTTGTTTTCATGATTTAGGATAATCCTTCAGAGTACATATGATAAAACAATTTGTAAATGCAATGAAAACATAGTAAGACAAGATTTCTTTACAGCATCTACTATTAGGGTGGGAGAGATGGCCATCTTTTGTATAAACGTTTTGGGTTGTGCACATTAGCAAAATTAAAAAAGTAAGGTTTTATTATACTACATAAAACTACAGTGGGGGTTTTCTTAGCATTGTTAATATATGTTTATTACCTCCAGGCTTAGAAATCCTCCATCATGAGTAGAAGTGACCTGAGGGGAATTTTCAAACCATTCACATGATTTCCCCAGTAAGTTTTTTAATGTTTTCACAGATGACACAGTCAAAGCTCCAGAGTAGCGAGCCAAGATCACAGCATTTTCTGCCCACCAATTTACATCCATTAGCGAGTAATAGGATTCTTTATCTAAAGGAGAAAACAAAACAAACATTTCTAACATTCATCAGCATCACACGCAGCCTCGCTTCACTAAGTTTCTATTTTACAGCAATGGTATTTTTAATTACAGTCAACTCTGTATTAACAAAAGTAAAACTGAACCATTATAGATTTTGACTTAACTGCATTACTTTTCAAATATTGCTTGAAAAAACTAATCTACAGCAAGCTGATTTACTTGCACTGAGTAGGATAGGTTTTGAGCATTTGATAAAGATTTGGTACATCACTCCTCAGGACAGCGGAGAGTGAATTTCTTTAGCAAATGCATAGAGAATTACGGATGGGATCCAGAAGAAATTGCATCCAGCTGGAGGACATATCACAACTGAAAACAGAACTCTTAGAGGACCATCCAGGGAGAAAACAGTTATTAAGATGACATTTTAAAAATAGTTACAATCTAGAATTTTACATTTTGTGGGCAATTTGCTTATGCAGTTAGATATCACCCTTAAAGAGAAGGCAGACATCACCTTATTTTCTAACTATTACAGCACACTCTCCTTTCAATTAAATTCATTCTTTTCACTTTGAATGATGGTTGTTTTAATTTTGTTACATAGCTAATACCAGGGTATATATCAGAAAGTGTAGAAGTGTCTGAACAGCAGCTTTTAAATTGTAGTCATATTTTATCAACACATTTTCCTTGGGCTCTTCTCTGGTTCAGAATGCTGGCCTCTCACTAACTGGCAAAGATTTTTAAACTATAGCTATGAACTGTATTAGCCAAACCCATCTCCTCAAAACAAGGTAGATGCTGTTAATTCTACTGCCAATTATTCTGATCAAGTTAATCAGTGACTTAAGCAGGTAAAAGGGACTATAAGGAAAGACCACCTGTATGGATCCTTAGAAGATTTCCACTCACTGATCTCAGGCAGGCATGGTGTCAAGAAGGGTTTTGTTTGTTTTAAATCAAGTCATGTAATTGGGCAAAAATAACTTTACTTTTTTGTAACTGGACTTTTCCATTTCTCTCCTAGACAAATCTTTACTCTGATTGTGCATGCCAGGTCACTTAGACTGTAAACTCTTAGGGGCTGGCACCACAAGTAACTTAGGAAAATGCGGCCCTGATCTATGATTGAGACCCAGAGGTACTACAGCAATACAAAGAAAGTAACAACAAGAAGTATCAGTGGAACCTTTGCCGTGAAACTACAGTCGCTCCCCGGGTTATGCAAACCCAACTTACACAAAAAGTTCCCTAAGTTCCATAAGCATTTCTCCTCTTCTCCCCCATAATTATCGGGTATATGTCCCCGACTTACGCAAAATTCAACTTACGCAAAGCGTTCCGGAATGAAACACTTGCGTAAGTCGGGGAGCGTGTGTACTGGCTATATAAACATTGTTCACATACTGATGTACACGCATGGCATTAACACTGCATGTATAAATGGAAGTACTGTACATTAAAATATGCTCTCAGCTAAAATATTAACTGAAGACAAGCAGGCAGACCAACCTCCTGTAGTATTCTAACTTGTTCCTAGCCTTTTAAAATTCACCATGCTGGTGTGGAGGGGAAGGACTGAATTAAATACGAAAAGTGTATTTAGCATTGTGGACTACAAAGGTATGCCACAGCATTTTGGAGCCCACGGGAGCAAATCTTTGCTAGCGGGGCTCACACCAGCACTCTAAAAATAGCTATGTAGACAGCACTTTGAGGTTGCAGTTAGGGCTGGAGCTTGGGCTCTAAAGCCCACCCACCCACCTCCCTAGGCTTTAGAAACCAAGCTCTGTGGGCCCGGCTCTCAGGCTCCAATATATCCCAAGAGGCCTCCTGGTGGACTCTGCAAATTTCTGCAACATACAATTTATTGTTTCATGTATTTCCAAGACAGACATATTTTTGCTGAGCGTTAAGCCTTCCATGGAGCCAGAATCCACAACCTTCTGATTTATCATGAATGAAAAAGCCCTATATTATGTGTAACCATAAATAAAAGGATATTTCAGCTGCAAAGTATGCCTAACAGCAGATTTTAAAATGTTTGCATTGTGAGATACTCATTAAGCTAGAATGAACTGAAAATTCAAGAAAGATGCACCATTTTGGCAACTATCCTAGGCAAGACTTTAATTAAAAGCATTATGTTCTTTAATCAATGTAATTTTTTTTTCAGAACATCAATGTTTAGCATAATAATTTGACTACATCACCCACCTTTTATTTTCTTCCTTTTTTCAGTAGAAAGCCTCCAATCTGGATTGATCTCATCATAACCTGGCTAAAAAAAATTAAGTTGCAATGTTACATTAACTATATTAGTAAGCAATCATCTTTAAAAAGCAAACATTTTGCCCCCTTTATATCTAACTACTTCTCACGAAAGGTAACACCTTCAATTTTCCATTAAACTGCTCTGTTATCACTGAGACTACATCCATGTAAATGCAATCCTCATTGGAATAAAGAAGAACAGGAGTACTTGTGGCACCTCAGAGACTAACAAATTTATTAGAGCATAAGCTTTCGTGGACTACAGCCCACTTCTTCGGATGCATATAGAATGGAACATATATTGAGGAGATATATATACACACATACAGAGAGCATAAACAGGTGGGAGTTGTCTTACCAACTCTGAGGGCCAATTAATTGGAATGAAATTCAAGCTTCCTTCCCTAGGTCAGATGTACAAATTGGACCCTTTCTTTAAATATTGAATTTAGAAATATAGGAACTGCACAATGGATCAGACCCATAGTCCATCTAATACAGTATCCTGCCTAACACCATGTCCTACATAAGAAACCAGGATAACCCAATGACTCACCGATCTGGTCAGCGTTCTATGGCAATGGTTGCCCATGAATTTCTCAAATACAGGATATCCAATTAAGCTGCCCACTGTCCCAAACTATATGTGATTTGTTTAACCTGAAGTGTTTTAAGAGAACAATTACTTGTTATAAATCATAGAACGTAAGTGTCACTCTTAAATTCCCCTGCGTCTTAGGAACCCAGGAGCATGTGTTATAGTCAGTTATCTCTGTAATATTTCCCTTGTAGGACTAGTGTAGCAGAGGAATCGGCAGTATTGAGTGACCTCTGCACCTGCAGCTTCTTCTTTTGAGTCCTGGAATAGATTTTTCTTCATCTTGGAAAGAGCATACAAAGATGTACAGTAGGAGAGTGATGCTGAATCTCGCACAGTGCGGTATCACAAGTCACACAGTATGTGAAAGAAAAACAGCTTTTATTATTTACTGAGTACAGTCAGGATGCAGGACACTGTGAAGATAGAGGCTATAATGGCCGTGCCCCAAGCAATTTACAACACCAAAAGGACACCTCTCGACACTTGAAACACCAGACTGGGTCCAGTTTCGGTGCAGTGGAAAGTTTGGGATTTGGTTTGGTTTGGTTTTTTTAAAGGAGCACAAAAGCACACTGGTATCACCTGTTGTTTTTTTTTGTTTGTTTTTTGGCATGCCAGTTCTCACCCCACATTTTATGAAACCAAAATGTTTCTGTGCAAAACAGGTAGAAGTTGCATATTTCTGAAATGTTTTGTCCTAAAAAAACAGTTACTAACCTTTCTGTAACTGTTGTTCTTCGTGATGTGTTGCTCATGTCCATTCCACATTAGGTGTGCACACGCTGCATGCAGTCACCGGAGATTTTTCCCTCAGTGGTATCAGTCAGGCTGGCTCTAGCACCCTTTTTTTTTTATAAATGGAGATATCCTATCTCCTAGAACTGGAAGGGACCTTGAAAGGTCATCAAGTCCAGCCCCCTGCCTTCACTAGCAGGACTAAGTACTGATTTTGCCTCAGATCTCTAATGGGCTCCCTCAAGGATTGAACTCACAACCCTGGGTTTAGCAGGCCACTGCTCAAACCACTGAGCTATCCCTCCCCCGCACCCTCTGGTGCCAAGCACTCATGCGCTGATATAAGAGCCCCAGCCAGCCCCGCACCCTCTGAGTTCCTGCTTGCCAGCTAACTCCAAGAGATGGACAGGAGGATGGGTTGTGGAATGGAAATGAGCATCACATCTCAAAGAACAGCAGCTATGGAAAGGTTAGTAACCGTTTTTTCTTCTTCAAGTGCTTGCTCACGCCCGTTCCACGTTAGAGGACTTTCAAATGGTGCGCAAGGAAGTGGGCTCGGAGTTCATGGACATACAGATTGCAACACTGTTCTACCAAATTTGGCATTATCCCTAGCCTGCTGGGTAATGGCATAGTGGGAGGAGACAGTATGTACCAACTACCAGGTCACTTCTCTGCAGATGTTTTGGATCAGGAACTGGGATAGATGGAGCCTGAGCTCTCGTCAAATGGGCTGTCAAGACGGCAGGAGGGGGAACACCCCTGCTCATAGTACGTACGAATGCAGGAAGCAATCCAGAATGAGATTCTCCAAGCCGAACCTGGTAGGCATTTCATCCTGCCTGCTACTGCCACAAAGAGCTGCGTGGATTTACAGAATGGCTTGGTTCTTTCAACGTAGAAGGCCAGGACACATCTAACACCCAATGTATGGAGATGCCACTCCTCCGTATTTTTGCAGTTTGGGGAAGAAAACAGGCAGGAAAACAGCCTGATTACTATGAAACTGCGAGACCACCTTTGGCAGGAACGCTGGGTAGAGGTGCAGTTGAGCCTTCTCCTTAACACTGTATATGGGGATTCTGAAATAAGGGCCAAGATTTCTGAGACCCTCCTGACTGAGATAATCATTACCAGGAAGGCAACCTTCCAGGAGACAGATGTCAGAGAGCATGATTCCAGCAACACAAAGGGAGGGCCCATGAGTCTTGACAAGACCAGGTTTAGGGCCCCCAGTGGAATGAGTTCACAAATTTCAATGTAAAGTCTCTCTAATCCGTTGAAGAAGCAAATGGACATTTTGCATGAGAAGACCGACCTACTGTCCATCAGAGAGTGGAAGGCTGAGATTGCCGCTAGATGCACCTTGAACGATGAAATGGCTAGGCCCTATGATTTCAGATGGAGCAGTTACTCCAGCATGGACTGGAGGGGTGACCGAGTTGGTAAGAGGCCTCGTTGGGATGATCAAACCAAGAAACACTTCCTTTTGGCAAGGTAAGTCGCTCTAGTAGATGGTTTCATACTACCTAGCAAGACCTGGCGGACTTCTCCTGAACAGGCCAGATTCAACCATGGAGCTTCCATGCAGTCAGGTGGAGGGCCTTGAGGTTCAGGTGGAGCAAACAGTTGTGATCTTGCAAATATCAGGTCCATGAGGGGAGGGAGCAGCAACGGCGCTGCTACTAACAGATCCAGTAGCATGCCAAACCAGTTTGGTGCAGCCAAGCAGTAGCTATAAGAATAACCCTTGCTTTGTCTCTCTTGACTTTCAGAAGGACCTTGTGTATCAAAGGAATAGAAGGAAATGCATAGAACAGGAGCACTGTCCATGGAAGTAAGAAGGCATCTACAAGTGAGCCTGGTGTGTGACCACGCAGGGAGCAAAACTGCTGACATTTCCTGTTCTGCTGGACTCCGAACAGATCTACAAGAGGAAACCCCTGTCTCTTAAGGATGAACCTAGCTATATCAGGGTGAAGGGACCATTCATGGTGAGAGAAGAAAGACCTGCTGAGGTAATCTGCCAGAGTGTTCTGGGCTCCAAGAAGGTGAGATGCTTCGAGATGGATGGAGTGCTTCGTGCAGAAGTCCCACAGGCCTCTTGTCATTGGGTGAACAAGCATGCCCCTCCCTGCCGGTTGATGTAAAACATGGCTGCTGCGTTGTCCATGAGCACTTGCACTACTTTGCCTGCAATCTGGGGTAGAAACACCTGCACACTAGGCAGACTGCTCTGAGCAATTGACATTTATATGCAATGGGAGCTCATCCTAGGACCACAGGCCCTGAGTCCTGAAGTGTTCAAGGTGAGCCTCCCAACTAGAGTGAACGCATCCAAGATTAGAGATACTGATTGATGAGGAGTGACAAAGGGAATATCCTCCCTCACCGATCGGGGATGCCTCCATCAGTCGAGGGAAATGAGGATCGGGGTGGGAACTGTAAGCACCAAGTCCAAGTGATGGCGGCTCAGTGAGTACACTAAGGCCAGCCAAGCTTGAAGGGGTACAAGGTATAATTTTGCATGTTGTATCACATAAGTGCATGTGGCCATGTGACCTAAAAGTTTGAGGCAGAAACAGACTGTCATGACATGTGGGCCTTGACCTTCGATATCACAGCCGACATTCTCAGGAAGTGAGCCTCTGGGAGGAAGGCTCTGGCCCAGGTAGAACCGAGCACAGCAACGAGAGTCGACTTTTGCTAATTTATCAATAGGACCAGGGCTCAGAAGGTAGCTTGGACCAGATAAATGCTGGCTCTCACCTGGGCCTTGGACTGGCCCTTGATTAGCCAGTCATTGAGGTAAGGGTAGACTTGAACACCTGGCCTTCTGAGTAAGGCCGCCGCCACCGCCATACATATTGTAAAAACACTGCCAACAGGCCAAACAGGAGGACAGTAAATTGGTAGTGGGTCTGGTTTACAATGGATCCGAGAAACCTTCTGTGGCCCTGGAAAACGGAGATGTGGAAACAGGTGTCTTTCAAGTCGAGAGCAGTATACCCGTCTCCTGGATCCAAGGAGGGAATAATGGAGGCCAGGGAGACCATGCAGAACCTCAGTTTCTTGAGATAACTGTGGAGGTGATGCATGTCTAGGATGGGTCAAAGATCCCCTTTGGCCTTCGGAACCAGGAAATATCAGCAGGAGTAAAACCCTATCCCTCTCAAGTTCTGAGGCACCTGCCCCACAGCCCCTACCCGAAGGAGGGCTTACACCTCCAGGACTAGAAGTTGCTCATGAGAAGGGTCACTGAAGAGGGACGGGGAGGGGGTGGCAGAGAAGGGTGGAAGAAAGTTAAAGGGAATAATTTTCCTCCACCATACTCGGCACCCAACAGTCCGAGGTGATGAAGGACCATGCCAGGCTAAAGTAGGAAAGACGGTCTGAGAAAACAAAAAGGGGGGCAGAATCCAGTATTGGAAACTGATATAATGTCCTCAGGTGACCCTTCAAAAGTTCTGCTTGGGGCATGCCAGATATCTGTGCAAGCCCAGTAATGAGGCTGAGGTGGATGGGGGCGGTTGCCTGTGCTTATAATCCCTGCTGCATTTCTTAAACAGGTGTTGGCATGGTGATGGAGACGAAAAGATAACCGTTTGCTGAGGCCTGAAATGCTTCCTTGAAGGTCCGAGGGTATCATAGAGTCAAAGGAATGGAAGGGA